TGCATGCACTAGTAGAGCAAACTCAAAGTCGTCTTGTTCTTGTTCATCATCTGACCAAATCTAAGTTTAATAATAAAGTTGTTTCGATTGACATTCATTCACCTTGGATTAATAATGGTATAATCAGCGCTACTAACTTCGATCGACTATCCAGTGTTACAGTCACATCAAGTAATATTGCATATATTATTTTCACTAGTGGTTCAACGGGGGTACCAAAAGCGGTATGTTATCATTTCCGTTCTCTTATGTATTTACATTCCTATATGTTCGAATAGATTAAAGTACGGCACATAAATTTTGCTGGATGTGTATACTCTTTGGTTAGCAGTAATACATTTAATAAAAATGATACTGTTGCTCAGATGGCACGATGCTCCTTTGATCTTCAACTTCAAGAAATACTTGGCAGTTTGATGATTGGAGCTACAGTGGTGATGCTTCATCCAAAAGGAACAGTTGATTTTGATTATCTCTCTCACATCTTGTATACTAAAGAAGTTACGTACATGCAAAGTGTGCCAAGTTTACTTCAAGGTTTTTTCATTTCTCGCGAACAGTGGGTTAACGCAAACGCTTTTAAACACCTTCGATCGATTTCCTGTGCCGGTATGTAACTAAGTGATAAACTTCAAAATGTTCTGCAGCTGTCTAAGTTTTTGTAGGTGAACCGTTTTCTGTTAAACTAAGGACTTTAATTGCTAACATTGGTATACCACACTGTAATGTATGGAATCTTTATGGTGCTACTGAAACAACACTCGTCTCTACATATCATCTTGTTGATACTAAGTCCAACAGTGCAAGCATTTCGGTCGGTAGATCACTACCAAGCTATCAATCATTGCTCTTAAATAAATTTTTGCAAAGCGCCTCTATTAGTCAAAAAGGAGTTTTATTTACTGGAGGTGTTGGTGTCTTTGCTGGTTATCTTGGACATGACAATTTGACCGCCAAAGCACTCATAGAAATTGATGGCCAATTATTCTATCGAGTAGGTGATCTTGTTCATATAGATACGAATGGTCTTCTTCATTATCACGGAAGAAAAGATCATCAGGTAAAATTACATGGACAACGAATTGAACTTGGTGAAATCGAACGATGTTTACTTATTATTACATCTATCTCTGCTTGTGTTGTCATGAAATGGAAAGATGATTATTTAGTTGCATATATTCAATCTTCTCAAATCAATGAAGAACAACTACGTCAACATTGTCAATCTCATCTTCCACCATATATGATTCCATCTTTCTTTATTATACTTGATGAATTACCTTTGAATCAAAATGGAAAAATAGATCGAAAACTTCTTCCCCCACCTCAATGCTCATCTATGCAGCTCACAAATAGTTTACAACTATTTCTACCAACAAATGATATTGAACTTACTATTCATCGCATTTGGTGTAATATATTCAAACAAAATCAAATCTCAATTGATACAAATATCTTTACTATTGGTGGTCATTCATTACTTTTAATGCAACTCTTTCATCGATACAAGATCCACTTTCATCTAGAACAAAAGCAAAATACTCTCTCGATATCTAATCTATTTCAACATCCAACAATTATTCATCATGCTCAACTCATTCAACAGTGTATCAGTACCATCCACACTGTGGATGATTATCCTTGGTTATCATTACATCTCACTCAAAGTAAACAAAACAACTTGTATTGAATATTATCATCAACTACATATTCATCTCTTTCTTTCTTATTATAGCTAAAGCGTCATTTGCACAAGAACGAATCTATTTAGATGAGCAAATTCGTTTTTCATCCAACCAAACAACGATGAATAATATATATGTTATTCCTTTACTTTATCGTATATCATCTATGAATGATCATGTGTCAATTACTCGATTACATCATGCATTTCAAAGTGTTATCATAAAACACAATATTCTTCGAACAGCACTTTATCTTGATACAAACGGCCATATTATACAACATTGTTTAGATATGAAATCAGACAGATTTACAATCGTTAATATTCATAATAATGATCGGCATCATATGAATGAAATTATTGGTGAAATATTAAATCAATCTGATTTATTTGATTTGTCAAAAGGGTGTGTCATTCACTTTCACATTCTACGTCATTATCATCAATCTCAAGATAGTATCACACATGAGAATGATGATCTATTAAGTGAAAATGATCACATATTAATTAGTATTCATCATGCAATGTTTGATGGAGCATCAACATCAATCTTCCTTCGTGATCTTTCTCTTGCTTATCAATCTGATGATTCATTATTTGTGGATGATAATCTTTTGAATTATATCGATTATTCTGTTCATGAACATATCATAGATATGTCATTATCTCGTGAATTCTGGCATTCTCAACTCAAAGGATATAATATTAAATATTCATTATCATTATCAGTTGATCGACAACGTTCATCAACTAGCCAACAACGATCAGGTTTAGCATCCATCGTTGAAATCGCTTTCGATAATGAAATATGCACATCATTTCTAAACTATGCATCATCACATCGTCTCACACTCTTTCAACTTGGATTATCCATATTTTATGTCTTCCTATCCAAATTAACTCATGGTGAGACTGATCTATGTATTGGTTCTATCAACGCTAATCGATACCGAAGTGAATTAGTGAATATGATAGGAATGTTTGTTTCAACATTACCATATCGTGTTGAACTTGATTCACATTGGTCATTTGATGAAGTAGTTCAATATGTACAAGAAAAATGTTTATCAATTCTTGAACATTCTCATTATCCATTACAACATATTCTTGGTGATAATCAACTAAATCAATCGAATGTATCATTTCTTGAGACAATGTTTGATTTTATTAGTGTGACAAAAGATATGGGACATTTAAGTTTGAATGATACAAATTTAGAACAAGGATCATCAGAACAATCAACTGAAGTGTCTAAATTTGACTTTTCATTAACATTTGAATACAATCCATTATCAGATAACAACAGATTATTATGTCGTTTTGTTTGTTCACATGATCTGTTTGAAAAGTCAACTATTTCGCAAATAGCTCAAAGATTTGAATACACGTTTGAGCAATTGTTTCGAACACAAGCAAGCAATATTGCTATGATGAATGTGAGTTCATCGATTCGCAAACTGTCTCTTATTCTTCCCGAAGAAGCTGAAGAAATGGAATTAGTTGTGTTTCATCGATTGCAGAATATTGTCGATGAAGGTATGATTGTATGCAGCTTGTTCTGTTGTTTCATAAAAGTAGTAGTCAGTTAAGTTAGTAATGAGAAATATACATCAAAGTGCATTGCAATGTACAGACATACTATTTTCAGTAATTATATAAACTCTAATGGAATAAATAATGAGAATATATGAATTCAAATGAGTTGTGATCGTCAATAACTTCGGTTGTCTTTTTCAGGTGCTCTAGTTTTGAAACGTTTAAGGAGGGATTACCGAAGACAATGAAAGTGAGTTGGAGTCGAACTTATCACGAAATTGTTCGCTAGAGAAATCGAAGTTAAATTGTAAAAATCGCTGATGAGTATCTGCTTCAAATATGTGAATAGTCTTGTATTTTTATACTAATCAACAAAAATAACACTTCACGTTGTACGAAAGTTGTCTATTTCGTTTTAAGAAACAGAACAACTATGATAGTAGAATCTGTGAAAGACCCGTTTATGTATAAACTGGCACTCTCTCATAACTAAGATACGCTCGTAGATTTCATGTCAGAAAACAAATTCTGTTTAGGTAGAAAGGCGATTAAGATAAAAAGTGGTTAGAATATTTATATCAAACATCATATGAACATCCAGCCTTTATATTATAATTAATTAAATCCTCATCATTCTAGCGCCAGCATCATTTGCACAAGCTCGTATCTGGCTTGATGAAAGAATTCGATTCGACCCAGATAAGCCTCAAATAGCAATCTACAATATGCCTTTTGTTTATCGTCTTCAATCAGATCATACTTTATCGATTAAACAACTTCATCATGCTCTTTATCTCACTGTTAACAAACATCACTCACTTCATACATCACTTCATTTTGATATCCAAAAGAATCTACTTATGCAACGAGTTATTACTCATGAACATAAAATTAATATGTTTTCAATCATCGAAACTACTTATGAAACAGATGAGCAACTCGATGAAATTTTACATGGTGAGAAACGTAATCTTCGTCTTTTTGATCTTGATCAAGGTCTGGTGTTTCGATGTCATATTATTTATCACAAACAAATCTCTTCAAATCATCTTCTTTCTCACAAAGATCTACTTATCTTCAACTTTCACCATGCTTTGTTTGACTTTCCATCGATGGAAGTGTTTCATTATGATCTCAATCAAGCATACACAACAGGTCAATTATTATATAATGACAACACTAAACTTCGTTATCTCGATTGTAAATATAAATACTACTTCTACTTTTCTCTTTTTTCCAGTACATTCTTTCTTTTAATTGCATAATAGATGCTGTTATTGAACAACAAATGTCAATGACTGGTGCAAGCATGTTTTGGCTTGATG